CCCCCCCCCCGCCTAAATTTACCTTTTCCCCAGGGCCGCCTGCCGAGGCCTGTAGAGGGGCCCCCTCCTGGGCAGAGGGCGAGGGGCTGGGCGCGGCCTCCCCCTTGAGCCTCACGGCAGCTTGGTGCACGCGAGCGCGCAGGCCCCTCACCTTCCCCATTTCCCCAGGAGGAAACCTCCAGCCGACACTGATGCCCGGCGCACTAGCGGAAAAGCCTACCGGAAGCTGGTCCCTCGCTCTCGTCACTCGGAGGAAACAGGAGCCGCCGCTGCCAGGATCCGATCTCCGTCCGCAGGCACCGGAAGTGCCGGAACTGACACAAGTCACGCCAGCCTCCTTGGGATTTGGGGAATGAGTACAGAGCTGGGCTGGAGCCAAGCACGTTGGAAATACACGGATGTGTTCAGTACGCGACGCTTGACATTCAACAAGGCCCCGGAGGAAGGGAACGCTCCCGGGACTAGGGTGGTGTACACTGCGAAAAATAGTGCATTTGTCTAGAAATGTGAGTACCAGACAGGCATGGTTTTGAGGCAAGGTAGCTACTACAGGTTAGGCATAGATAGATAAATTTCCCGTAGGCAGGTTTTAGAAAGCGTCCAGGCATCCTGTCAGCAATCTTGAACTGCCCTGAGAGCAGGAATGTGAATTCAATGTGGTCTCCCAGTTCACACACACCTCCCCACCTCCCAGTCTGGCCAAAGGAAAACTACATCAAGGTGGTTCCCAGACCGTGAATCAAAAATGATAATAAGACCACCTTCTAGCTAATTAATTTGTGTCTCGAGAAGTCTGACAAGTCACCCTGGAAAAGACCGTCCAATCCTCCCTTCAAAAGCCAAGAGATGTCAATCTCTCTGAGCAACAGTTAATTACCTGTGCTCTGCCCTCTTTAGCATATCTGTCGTTGTGAAGATATATCAGAACTTTTGTCCAAAGCAAAAAGCACGTTTCTCTCTCTTCCATGCCAGCTCTGCCATGTCCCTCTATCTTTCCCCTCCTCTTTCTCTAATAAACTTTGTTTGAAAACTTTGCTGGCCGCTCTCAAATTCATTTTAGGATTAAATCAAATAATCAACAAGTTTTGTGCAGTACCCCACTTGGCATCGGTTGGATCTGAAGTTGGGATGGAGAGGATGAACCTCAACTTCATGACAATCTTTTCTTTTTAAAAGTGTGTTTGTGAGCCAGGCTCGGTGGTTCAGCCTGTCATCCTGCGTTTTGGGAGGCTGAGGTGAGTGGATTGCCTAAGCCTGCGGGTGAGACCTCATCTCTACAACTTGGTGAGACCTCATCTCTACAATAAATCAAAAATTAGCTGGGCATGGTAGCGCATGCCTGTAGTTCCAGCAACTTGGAAGGTTGAGGCAGAAGGATCGCCAGAGCCCAGCAGGTCGAGGCTGCGGTGGCTGGGAACGTGCCACTGCACTCCAGTCTGGGCAACAGAGTGAGACTCCAACTCAAAAAAAAAAGTGTTTGTGGCGACAGGGTCTCCCTATGCTCCCCAGGCTGGTCTCAAACTCCTGGCATCCCAAAGCCCGGGGCTTATAAGCATTAGCCACTGTGCCCAGCCTCAATCTTTTTTTTTTTTTAACACTTCTGCATTTAATCCTCAGAGAAATTTCTTGAAATTGGATATATCTCATCCATTAAAATGGGAAAGAATGTGGTGAAATAACTTGCTGCAGTCGGAGTCCTGCTATTCTGACCTCTTTCTTGCACAATGTGTTTTCCATGCCCAGTGTAGTAGGGTGGATTAGGGAAACAAGTCTACAGGTAAAGGTGTGTTCTCCTGTCCCCAAGAAGCCATTGTTCTCTTGGGGTACAAAAAGCTAACACATCTAGAAAAAAATATAGAAAGAAAAAAACAGGCCATGGTTGGGGGCCACAAAGGAAAGCTGCTGAGTCCAGGCTTAGCCAGGGGCATGGCCACACCTCTGCCTTTCTCCCCCAGGTTGGGCACAAGCCCTCTCCTGTCCAGGAATCAGCCTAGTTCAGGATCCACAGTGAAAAGTCACCCACACAATAGGCATTGAAGAGGAATAGTTGGTCAGGGCAGAGCTGGGTACCACCTCTTAGAAAGGACACAAAGTTTCTTGCCCAGCTGGGAGATTGGACAGATGACTATACAGGCTTCTCACTGCCCACAATGATAGACTTTATGATTTAGGCTGCACAACTGGCTTGAAGTTGTGCCTACTTATATATGCAAAGATTTATTGAGTGTTCCCAAGTCTTTATTTTCTCTTCAACTAGACTTGTTCTCAACCAGTGTACACAGGAATGATGTTGGCCATGAAAATCCCAGAGATGAAAAATATACAGTATCGAGCTGAGAGTCTACCATGTTAAGAAGCTCTTCAAGGTGACTGGGTGTGATGGCTCATGCCTGTATTCCCAGCACCTTGTGAGTTCAAGATGAGAGGACTGCCTGAGGCCAGGGATTCAAGACCAGCCTGGGCAACTTTGCAAGGCCTCATCTCTACACTAAATAAAAAAAAAATTAGCTTGGTGTGGTGGCATGCACCTGTACTTCTACTTGGAAGACTGAGGCAGAAGGATTGCCTTAGCCCAGCAGGTCAAGGCTATGGTAGCCATGAGTGTGCCACTGCACTACAGCCTGGGTGACAGAGTAAGACTTTGAACAAAAAAAGAAAAGAAAAGAAAAGAAAAATAATTCCTTCAGTATCTGAAGGATACCTTCAGCATCTGAGCCAAGTGGACTCTTGAGGTGAAAGTACTCATCTTTATGTACCTTGGATATAGGTGAGTTTTAGCACCCTGGATCACATTATCTGTTAATAACCCTTCCCGTCTAAATTTGCCTCATGAGATTATGCCTGTTTTTAAAGATCATATTCTTTTTAAATACTGCCAACCCTGTATTTGAGACTATATGGTTTGACTGTCTCCTCCCAAATGCATGGTTGAAATTTAGTTGTCATTGTAACAGTATTAAGATGTGGGACCTTTAAGAGGTGATTAGGTCATGAGGGCTCTGCCTTCATGAATGAATTGATGCCGTTATCGTGGGAGTGGATTTGTTATCAGAGGTTCTTTATAAAGGGATGAGTTCAGTCCCTTGTGGCTCTCTCTTGCCCTCTTTGTCCTTCCAACATGAAATGACACAGCAAGTAGGCCCTTGAAAGATGCCAGCACCTTGATCTCACATGTCTCAGCCTCCCAAACCATAAGCCAATAAATTTCTGTTTGTTACTTAGTTATTCAGTCTCTGGTATTCTGTTGTAGCAGCACAGAACAGACTAAGACAAAGACAAAGATACATCTCTACCTATACAGAAGAAGCTTCAAAGGAAGCAGTTCTGGCCAAGTATGGTGGCTCATGCCTGTAATCACAGCACTTTGGGAGTCCTAGGCAGGAAGATCACTTGAACCCAGGAGTTTGAGACCAGCCTGGGCAACATAGCAAGACTCTGTATCTAAAGAAAGAAAGAGAAAGAGAGAGAGAGAGAGAGAGAGAGAGAGAGAGAGAGAGAGAGAAGGAAAAGAAAAGAAGGGGACAAAAATAAAAGAAAAGGAAAATATGGGATGGGGCTGCAGAGCAGTCCTCACCAACAAGGAACTATGTTGAAAACTAATTAATTAATTTAAATTTTCTTTTTAAAAAAGTTATACATGTACATGATACTTTAGGGAGGGCAAATCCCTACCTCCATTCTCTTAGGATTCTGACTGGGCCTAAGAATTAAGTTGACATAAAACAGATTAACAGGAAATGCATACCAATTTTATAAGTTGTATGTGATAGGAGCCTCATAAGGAAATGAAAACTCAAAGAAGTGACAACACTTTTGGTGCTTTGTTCTCCCCTTGAAGTACCAGACATCTCTGCGTACACCTAATGGAGCTCAGCTATCTCCTGGCCATGTTAGTTATGGAATAACATTGTTTCCACTGCTGTTAGTGTCTAGCTTTGCTGATCTTTGATGGTGTTACCTGAACTGACCCTAAAACCCAGTCGTTCTTTGAAGATCCAGCCCCTGGTTTGCCCTGGAAAACTCAGTGACTTCTTGGTGGTGGTAAGGAAAGATAGAGAAAAAAACTCAAAGGAGGAAGAGCAACCACCAAGCTGCCCTCTCAGGTGGGATGTTAGCCACCCACTCTCAGTGGTGCCAGTTCTTACTGCAGTGGGCAGCTATGGGGTGCTCTCACCCCTCTTCCCTGGGGATGGCCCCACCCAAGAAAGGGGCCCTAAAGAGCCAAATTTCTTCTTATGCCTAGTTCCAGCCTGCCCCTCTGCTTAGCCACTGTGACTGGATGGGGTGAAGGGGGGTGTCAACCCATGCTGGGCAGAGGAAGCCAATTAGGAATGAGAGAGAAAGACTGAGGCCAGAGAAAAATATCCCTGGAAGAGAACCCCAGGGGCTGACTCTCAGACTAGCAACTCACTCTGCATGAGCTGCCTAGCTGTCAGTGCCTGCCGGTAAGGGAGGGTGTGTGACTCATGCCTGCCAGACAAGGTCAGTGGAAGGGTCAGCCTGGCTGCCTTTCCCTCCAAAGGAGACCTGGACTGGGGTGCCAAGGAGAACCCAGTTTATCCTGATAGAAATCAGCAGTGGTCCCACCCCTAGAAACACCAAACCCTTTGTCCCAGCTGTGAGTGAGAGTGGCAGAACTTCTGGAAGGTTCTGGAGTGTGGAGAAGGCTGCCCCCCCCATCATGTCCCCACTTACCCTGTGGCACCTTCAACTCCTTTAAGGGGATGCCGTGAAAGGCCATGAGAGACACCTGAGAATGTGGAGCTAAGCCAGGACACAGTGAGGGCATAGTGGCCACACTGCTTGGGTGGTAACAGCGCAGCTGCCTAGGGGAATATCCCCCTCACACAAGCTGGCGCTAAGACCTGGATTTCAGAAGCAGTTCTACCCAGTATCCTCAATGTCACAGCTGAGACCCGAATTCCAGAAGTAGTTCTGTCCAGGGTTCCCGGTGTCAGGGCTGAGACCTGGGATTCTAGAAGCAGCTCTGTCCAGTGGCTCCAGCATCTGAGCTGAGGCACTTCACCCAACATATGAGCTGCTTCTGAGGTCTCTAGGGGTCTCAGGTCTGTGAAAGGGAGACCTGGCTCAGGCCAGCTGGAGGACATGCTCCCCTGCCTGTCCCAAATGTCACCTTGGCACAGGCCAGAACTGGGCAAGATGGCCTTGACTTCAG